TATTTTTTTACGAAAGAGGAGGACAAGAGGTTCACATGATGGTATGTAAAATACCCCAGCAATCTAGACAAGATGCGCTGTCGACCTTTTTTTGGCTTTGGATATTCGGAAATCCACTAATCTAATAAACTACACGGTTTTTTTATCTGTGCACGATTGTTCGTGACACGAACGAAATTTCTATATTTATACTATCCAGATTTTCAGATTTCCAACATCTTTCAGCAAAATTATAAATTGAAAAATTTGTTATATTGGACCCGGTAGGGATCAAACCTACGACCCGTAGATTATTATTAGCTATACATTGCTACCATTAGACCAACGAGGCCGTTCATGATTGCCAAAGGTATGATCGTGTCGATATTATATAAAAAAACGTAAGAAAGCAAACGAGTAGACTGTTTTCGTATTAATTTTATCGCCTTAATTGATTCTGTCTCAGTCACATTCTACTTACATAAATGAGACGGGCCTAATCGATTCGAGATTTTCGTTTACCTGTACATGCAGTCAGGTCTATTGCCGCCGGCGAACTCGTTTTTTTTTCAAGCGATAAAATATAGTTGTGTAAACATATAAATCTAATCGCCATTTGTTACCAATTATCTTTTAATGAACCTTTTACGATTCGTTTGACCCGGTGGCCGTTTTAACTTTCGTGAAATTGAGAATTTTCTACCATTTAGTTAGTTGACGTACCTACTTAAAACATTTTTGTAAGATATTATATGAAACTGATTTGGAAAGACTGACCCATGTGATAAAGGTGGTACTCAAACCAAAACAGTGTTAAAGGAAACAAATTTAAACTATGTAGTTTTATTTAATAAGGACAAGTTAACTTTAGATATTGTAAATAATTCTACATTTTTATATAAATTTATATAACATTTTGGGTAGGTATTTTAATTCATAAACCATTTTTTATAGCATTGTACGATCAATACTTGTACTATAATGTTAACAGTGTTGACAGTTCAATTTGATAGTAAAAAACTATTTAAAACACGAATAATAAATAACTCTCAATTTATTTACAGCCCGACGTTTTGGGTGCTTTGCAGAATACAGATGGACAGTAGTTAAAATAGATTTTAAATAAGTTAGTCGTGTTATTTAAGCATCAAACTATATAATTATATTTGATACTAATGCAACTAGAACTAATAATAAAGACGATCTGTTCAATATCAATTCTATTTATCTCGGAGAAAGCTTTTAACCCGATGCAGCAGAACAGAGTTAAAAACAATATAATTTACGGAGTGCGTTCGCGCATTTCATTAACAGATGTAAAAGGGTCAATATCCAAGCTTAGTCTATCCAGCATTCGAAATGAGATCGAATTAGAGGGAGATACGGGGCGTATGCTCTTAATTTTCAAGATAACCTCCTTAAAGCGGTGTGCGTCTATCTGAGAATGCTTTTTTGTTTGATAAGGATGCATTCGATCTACACTTACTACGGAATATGTATGGAGCTTTTAAATTAAACTATTATTTGCTGTAATTTAAGCGAGTAGTGTACATTTAAATAAAACACTTTTAACGGTTTTAAAAGCAAAACTTAGTTATTTTTATTTGGTTACACAAAATTTTTGAGTCTGATAATTTTTGATTTCCATTTCTGCTTTTGCAGAGCATTCAAAACGCCGGGCTGCTGTTAAAAACTGGTTAACTAATATTATTAGCGTTTTAAACCGTTAAACGCGTATTATTTAGATTGGACATATTATTCTTATTACATAAGTAGAAGTCCCATTTTCTATAACAAAGCTTGGTGCAGATTTAATTTATTAAGCTATTCGTTTTTTTTCACAACCGAATTCGAATCCAAAACCTAACTCAATGCGTTACTACTAAACAGTGATTATTTACTTGTCTTTCTATACTTTTATTACCTTAAAAGTTTACGGAAGATAGAAAATAATATAATAACTACTAACATAACACGCGTTTGAATGGATGGTTGTTTGCTAGTCTTTTACCCAAAAACTGCAAAACAAATTTAGATGAAATGCAATAAGTAAGTAGGTAGTTAGAGCGACGCTGTCGACGCCGGTTCAAGTCCTTCCCGTGTCGTAATTATCAATTCACAGTCGATTTTTAATTTTAAATAAGTAGATAAACATTTTTATTTTCTACTTTTTCAAAATGTATTCTACTTACGAGACCGTTACATCATTGTGCGTACTTCCAACATTTGTTTATATCGCACTTAAATAACATTAGATTGCGTATTAAGAACCGAGCAAGATTGAATTTACAATACTAGTTTTTTTGCTATCAGCCAATGTACGGACCAGATGTTCGCAGTTCACATGCTTATAATAAGCCGTATCGTACACAAAGCCTCGAAATCGGACACCGGAGATAGGGAACTCCTGATTTGAGCTACAAAATCGCTAATGCACTTCACTTACCAAATTCAAGGACAATACGACCCTTATTTTCAAGTGGATAAGGTTCAAAATTCACTCGGTTCGTGAAACAAGTCGCCAATTTTAACGTTTTAATTTTCGTAAGTGCACCTTTTATAAATATAATCTCGCCTGTTTATTGCCTGCCCATTACATTATGAAGACATGCGATATAACGCGACTTTCACTGGTTTTAAATCCGACGAAATCAACAGGTTTTAATAGTCGTGTGTGATAGTCTTGGTATCAACAAATTTGCTTTTAAAAAAGGTCTATACAAAAAAGTTAGTCATTAACATGGCAAAATAAAATCCGATCCACGATGACACCAATAAACTTAAATTATATTAAAAATATAATTCGCGATTTAAACCGTTAAAAGTGATTTATTTATCTTTGTACTACTCGCTTTTTCCATAATAGGCGATAGACATGGGGTGCACTTCATGATAGGTGAAATAGCTTATTTATATACCATGTAAGCACGGTGCGCTGTCGGCCTATTAGCTTCAGATATTCGGAAATCCTTAGACTGATACCGAAACGCGATTTTCGTCTTTTTCAAAGTTTAGTAATTTTACCTATCGCATTACGGTACACACTAAATCACTTTGGTTAATTCAACCATCATGGTTAATACAACGATCAAATCCTAAAACTTAAAGTCGCCTGTTATTCAAATTAATTCAAAGCCAACGAGATAACGACAAACGGGATTCGGGACGTCACTTGGTCATGTAATTGATCCGGGATTTTTATCTTGATGAGTCCTTTATGTGCCCCCGAAGGGCTACCCTCCAGATAGCTGATAACATCTTTAAAAGGGTTGCCAAGTAAAGATATCACTTATAGTACCGGAGATCGCTAGGGGAATTCTGAATTAATTAAACTCGAATATTTTTTAAACATCTCACATATTAATAATTTTAGCTAGATTATAAACCCACTATAGTTCTAACCAGTAATATGAAATTGGTTTCTAAGCTTTCAGATGTCTCCTTTCATCAAATTTTAAGCTATTACTTTTGTACTAAACTGTTTCTATTTATGTGTTTACGTAAATACTGTCTATAGTTTACGCGATTAGTACACATTTAAATAAAACACTTTAACGGTTTGAAACGCGATATATTAGTTAAACTTATTTGGAAATGATTTTTAACTTCGGCCCGACGTTTCGGATCTCTTTGCAGCAGCCGTGGTCACAGGGAGAGCGTGTCTCCGAAGTTAAAAATCATTTTCAAATAAGTTTAACTAATATATCGCGTTTTAAACCGTTAAAGTGTTTTATTTAAATATGTGTTTACGTTTCAAAATTATCTTAAGGTGAAATTTACACGATTTATATTTACATGTACCAAGTATACGACTAACGTAGTAAGTAACTTACTTAACGTTATTTATCTATACTAGTATACTATATGAGAAAACTTATTATATTTAGTTTTGTGGGCTTCATAATTCTTTATTTATAAAATGTTTATTAAGACACGTATAGACTGACTGTTTGTTGACAGAGCTTTTTTTAGTTTTAATATATCCACAATAAATTTCAAAACTAATAAAAAATAACTCTAAAGACGCTTTCTCCACCAAAAATAACTAATATTTTTTTCGCGACGCTTAAGTAAATTCAATTTCAATATAACGAGTTCCCCTTCCATTAATTTGTAACCATTGTATCCAAGATTAGTGCCATCCCTTTTTGTTCGTGTTTTTTAACAGATTTCGCATTCTGTTTTTTAAGAACTCCACTTGAGAGTTGTCATCTCCGAACGGATATTTACGGCTTATCGTCTTATGTCATTCTAAGCGTTTTGTCCTCTTTGTCCAGACAAAATTGAGACAATCGTACGACGCGTGTTCTTGCCTGTTATTTGTTTCTTTGTTTTGCGTTTAATATTGGCGAAGGATAATCGGGTTTATAACATTGACTTGTCAGTCTTTATCAGAATTTATACTTAATTAAGTCCATAATAAACAATTTATGTAACTAAATTTTTATGTTTATCGTTGCAGTCTGCTTTGCAGTAGGTAGGTTTGTAAATGGCGAATTTATAATCGCTGATGTGTTCGACGCTTTTGGTGACTTCTTATGAATTTTTAGTGTTATTATCTAGATGATATCATGTTTAGTTGATCATCTGTTGAAATCTTGGCTGTTTAAATTGTATACTTTTTATTGCGTTCGAGCTTAATACTCTCAATATTTTATTAAACAGTTTTTTTGTGTAATTAACGATGAATGGTTTTAATTTATATATTTAGTTTAAGGTACCAACATTGTGTTTATGTGTATACCAAGAATATCGTATGTACCTACATATAATTAAATACTGTCTGTAGTTTACTTACCGGTTTAAAACGCGATATATATAAATTTAATTTATTTGAAAATTAATTTTACCACGGCACAACGATGCGGATGCTATACAGCAGCCGTGGCCACGGGGAGACAACAAGAGGGACGTTGGTCCATAGTTAAAATAATTAATTTTCAAAGCAGTTTAACTAATATACCGCGTTACACAATACATATCATTATTAGATGCGTCTTAAAAAATCGTATAATGCTTACCTCTGTCTACAATCTTGCCGAACAAATTCTTTCCCCTAAGAAAATTCCTTGTGGAACAGTTCCATCTTCTGTACTTGAACTGGTGTTGACATTCGGCTACAGCCATGTTAGCTCCTTTAGCCACTGCGGCTAAGACACCTGGGTTTTCACGTGCTAGTCTCCTCTGCTTCCGTCTTAACGTCGCATGGACTGCTGGGTCCATGTACAGAACCCCAGGTGAAAGTGGCGATAGGTTGTTCGGTTCTCCGGCCTTCGCTATGCCCCTAAAAAGAAAAAAATACATATCATATACTGTCTGTGGTTTACGCGAGTAGTACACATTTAAATAAAACACTTTAACGGTTTAAAACATGATATATATTAGTTAAACTTATTTACTGAATACCAACTTCGACTTTTTTACTTTGACGTCAGAGACAACCGCCATCTTTAGTCTCCCCGTGACCACGGCTGCTACAAAGCATCCGAAACGTCGGGTCGTTGTAAAATTAATTATATTACATGTTAAACCGTTAAAGTGTCTTTAATTAATACATATCATATTGAATCCTTATATACAGTAAAGTTGGGTACCAAAGCTAGCATTTAGCATTCATACGGTGGATACAACTTTTTAGAAATAATCCGCCTAAAAAACAGGTAGTAAGTGACAGTAGATTGTAACGTGGAACAATGCGAAAAAACTCTCTCCGGAGTCGAAAAAAAGAGACGAGCAACAAAACGCCACTTAAGGCAACGGGCGCAACTCGAAATGAAACGCTCATTTGGGCCCAAGACAACAAACAATTGACGGTCGAACTGTCAATCCGCAGACGTTTAGATAAATATTTGCGTCGCGCATTAATCCACGAAGCCGGAGTGGGCAAACAACGTGGACGATCTACATCCCGGGCTGTTGACTCTGCCCTGAATGTGTACACATGCGAAACAAGACTTTCATATAGACGGACGTACGCTCGCCACCCACGCTTACATAGACTGCTGCGCTATGTTCAAATAAAACACTTTTAACGGTTTAAAACGCGAAAGGTTCACATTTATTTAGTTAACGATGTTTCGGATGCTGCAGTAGCCGAGGTGACTTGTAAATAGGTTAACTGATTTATTTCGTGTTTTAAACCGTTATAATTATTTTATTTAAATACTTATGTCTTTATTGATATGTGTTTGTATAATATACATACTAAATGGTTTTATAGTTTATATTTTCTGTAACACTATTTTTGAATATGTATGAATACATATAAATAAATTATTTTACGTATCTATTGAGTGATTTTTTTATTTATTTTATAAACTAAGGACAAACCCTTGTCCAGCTTATCCGCTTATAATATTTAGCCACTAGCCACTTAAACATTGGAAATACTAAACATATCAGTTTTAAAAGCGCGGTCCACAAATTCTCGGAGAAAATCATTTCCAACGAACCTGTTCATATTTACGTAACACTTGACTACAAAGAAAGGTAAATAAAAGGGCACGGAGATCCGAGTCCAGTACATTTTTGTGGGCACATTATGTAATACTTGGTACATGCGAACACACCTATATACTCATTGCGTTGTATAATGTACCACGGCAACAAGTATCTGAAACGTCGGGCCGTAGTTAACTAATAAATATCGCGTATTAAACCGTTGTAAGTGATTTAAGAACGGTCAGTTACGGAGTAGTTCACATATAAAGTAAAGACTTTAACGTTCAAAACGCGTTTTAGTTAACTTATTGAAATTTAACTGCAACGCCGAACTGCTTTGTATAGCGTGGTCAGGGGAGACTTCTAAAAAAGTTTGAAGGGAAAGGCAACAGTAAATAAAATTACGAGACCACACATTAAACTACTAAATATTTTCAGTTTTTAAATATTAACTACGAAGTAATCAATTTCAAATCTATTAAAAATCGACTCGAGCAGGACTTGAACGGGTATCTACAGCGTTCCGTGCTGTTGCTCTAACCAATTGAATTAAATTTATATAGTAACATCATGTGGAAGAACATCTAAAAATTTTAAAGTTTTCATACTAAATCATCATCCGTGAATTAGATTAATGTTAGTTATTAAACCTATGAAAAAATTATAAACCAGCTATTTAAGTGGTCTATTAAACATTACAGCAGATGTGAATTACCTCTAAACCCAAGTGGGACATCCGGGATATTACAGACTTAACCCTGTCCACGATTCCACACGAACCGTTAAATGCGTCCAGCCCTTACCGGGTCATTATTGACACAACTAAAAACAAAGCAAAGTATATTTGTCCGTCCGTGCGTAAAGTCCTTTACACTTGTCACTTTGGTAGGAAATCAAATAAGAGGAATGAGATCTTCAACAAAAAAACAATGAATACCTTTCACGAGCAAACACAATGTTTGTACGGAGATAAAGACTGTGTGAATGTGTGAAAATGACAAACACTAGCGGGAAACCGCGGCGTTACTTGCGCTTAAACAGATTAAAACCGCTTAAGTAACTTTTCATAATTTATGAAAGCCAAAGAAAACAGTTGAGTCGTTTATACTATTCTTAAATAGATGTGTTAGTAACACAGCAACATCGTTCCTCGGAAATCCACAGACTGAAAGCGAAATGTTACTAAACTTGACAGCTTTGTCATCTGTATACGGTGGTTCGTGACCCGGACGGTGTTGAACCCGGTGGGTATCGAAGCCACGACCTGTTGATTAGTGATACCAACAAAATGCTTCACCAACGAGCCCGTTTCTGAGATAAGCATGTGCAAACAGACGAAATCTTCGCTTCCTATTTTTATACTTTGTGTATTCAATTAAATTTCTCTAATTTATTATAGCCGTATTTGGACCGACTTAGATCTGAATTACCGCGATCGAGGTCAGTGTATACTGGTTTTGGCTTTCGCTAATAAAATTAGTGTATAACCAAAAATCGATTGATTTATTTGAAGTGTCCAATTCGTTGTTAATTGTAAAAGTAGGCGTGGGCGTGATAAATGGACATATTTTTGTAACCGTTCTCAATTTTTTCTATTACACGTGAAGTAATTAAATACAATTAATACCTGTTATAACCTATAAATATTCCACTTTTTCTTCACTCTTCTCTTACGAGAGGATTTAAGAACTTAGACCAAGACTGCACCAAGACGGGTTAGTGGATCAACTACTACGACTTAATAAGAACTCAAATTTCCGCAAATCTCAAATACCTATAGTTTATTATACATTTAAATTAAACACTTAAACGGTTTAAAACTGGAATTATATAAGTTAAACGTATCAACTCATTATTTAACTACGGCCCGACGTTTCGGAAGCTTTGTAGCCACCGTGGTCATGGGGACAAAATGTAGGTGTCCCTAATGGCAAATTAAAATCTGCTGTATCGGGCCGTAAGTTTAAATAATTCATTTCGCGTTTTAAACCGTTACAGTGTTTTAAATTGCCCCGTGTGTTATAACGCTTTAGGTGACAATAATGCTGTGTTATATATTCCAATTTTTTAACAATTTAAGTTTAATGTTTATTTTTAATTTACTCTCATAGTTCAGTTTTTACAAACAAACAGTAAGAGAAAACGCTAAAAGTGTTTTAAATATAATTAGTAAGACACGAAATTATTGAACTAATATATCGCGTTTTAAACTGTTAAAGTGTTTAATTTAAATGTGTACTACTCGCGTAAACTATAGACAGTATTTACAAAACATCTCAAAATGATAATTGTGACAGAACTCTTCGTCGGCTTGTGGCGGCGATATGGCGCACGCACTATGAATACAAATTAAGCGACAAATTAATTTATTATTAATTTGTCACCAAGTGGGGTTCGATTCTCGCGATAAAATGTGAAATAATACACTATACAATTTATTTAATAAAACGCTATTGAGATATTGTCTAGAAACTATTTTTAAAAAATAGTGTAAGCGACATAGTATTAAAAAACACTTAAAACCGTTTAAAACGCGAATTATATTAGTTTAAATTGTGTCGGATGCTTTGCAGTAGCCACGAGAACTTAACTAATATATTTCGCATTTAAAACTGTTAAAGCTTGTTATTTCTTTGCAGTAGCCACGGGACTTACTAATAATTTGCATTTAAAACTGTTAAAGCTTGTTATTTAAATGTGTACTCGCATATGCTACAGACTGTATTTAAATGTTATTATGGAAATTTACATTGTATTAGATAAGTCTTTTATTATTGGTAGGTACATATTGGTCTTCGCGATAAAAATACCACTGGAAAAGAATTGACTCCTTACGAAAACATCAAACATCAAAATGATCCGTCTTTACGATGCCATAATAACTCCAAATATAATATGACGTTTGGGAGTGGTGGATTTGAATAATCGTGACGCCATTGTAACACAATATTTTGAACGTGTTTCGATTCGTAATTTTACTCAAATATAGACTTTTCGCGAATGACAGCCGAATGTTTGGAAATGTCGAAATTCTTTTGTTTCTAACGACTTGATCACATAAATTTGAATTTAGTAAAAATAATGTCATCAAAACGACATTTTTAATTAAACTTTGTTACTCTTATGTGGGGTTTGGGGCAATCTAATTTCTTTAGCCGTTGGCAATAATACTTTCTTTTCAAATTTAAATCCTTTAAGGATACTGACTAAGAATATTATGTTTTCGTATATGATTTATATATCTTGACGTTCATAAATCAATGGCACATACAAAAGAGTATTATGAAGTATATTTGTTTATTCGCGTATCGCGCACGCGCCACTGTTTGTTACCTAAGTTAGTGATAAATGATAAGTAAAACATAGATTAATAATGTTATACATAAAACATTTTTTACCTCTATAAAGTAAGTATATTTGTCTACTTTAGCAGCCTATATACGGATAATTTGATAAAATTTTTAATATAAGCAAATGCAGCCTTAACGTCTAACTCAGCAGTTAGACGCCTTATCTAGCTTTGATGTTTGGGTGTTCGAATACCGACAAAACAGTAAAGTATATATATGCATGGTATTGAAATTAGGTTAGTAAATCAGGCACAGATATGTGTTCGCCCCATGCCCAACAAGATAAGCAGGATCAAATCAATGGAAAACCGCTTTTATTATATAGCAATGACATTTTGTAAAAACCGACGGTATATTTTCATTTGCCGACGGGCGCACGATGTTTAATAGAATTAAAAAATAAAATGATTACCTACGCTAAAGTACAAGAGAATGTTTAGTGTAAATTAAATAATCTAATAATAATAATAATAAAAGAGGGAAGTATACATATACACATAATATAATAATCCCGTGTCCCCTCGTGGGGCATGGGGCGAACACATTCCGGTTTCACTGGTCGGTTTTATTTACAGGCAAGTAGTTGATCTGACTTCTGTTCCCTGACCAACCGAATCTGTTGTTTCCCCGGGATTCGAACCAAGGCCCTCTCGCGCTTAACGCACTGCTAAGCAAGACGTTTATTTTTACTTATTTGCATAGGCTTAATTGAAGATGAACTGTATATTTTCTACTGTATTGATTGAACTAAATGTTAAAGTATATTGAAAAACTCTCCAATAAAAGACCGATCAATCTTTCGGCGATTAATGCAGAAATTCCCTCGCCGCCCCGCGTAATTTTATTGGCAGTAAGATAAAAATCACATCAAAATTCAGTCATAAATAAGTTAATGGTTAAGCGCGATTAATTTTATTAGCCGTAAATAAAGTGTTTACGCCCTGTTCCCTTCGTAAATTACCTCGCGCGGTGTTATTTTGTTTTAATCAACGCGGATGTGTTGTAACACCTTTTGTAATTTTTAAAGCAATTAATCCTTTGCTTTCAATTTAATACTGATTGCGAGATGCAAATGTATATGCGCGTGATACTTCCGCATATTGTTTAATTTATATTTTCTTGCGTTTAAATATATTTACAGACTTGCTGATTGAATACCCACAGTCATTGAATTGCATACGAGATTTCTTCTGATGAAACTTTTTCAAATTTAAATATTTTTTATCTGTAATAATTTAGTCTATGTCGAGGATTAGGCAAGTGACATACCAGGAGCCGAGATAGTGAACGCAAATAAATGTCTGCTCCTGTCTGTCATTTGGGAGACAAACATCACTCTAAATCCTTACTTTCACTTTTAAACTAGAGTTGAAAGACAGAATTTAACATCTACAAGGTAGTTGAAAATAACATTGAAACTATATGTTCGTTATTTATTTGGATATTTCAGTTAATTTACTAACATAATATCAAAGTCATTCTTTTCTCAAATATTTTTGGTATGTTTTAGAGCCATATTTGTACATATTATAACATAATAGATATGCTTTGTAAATGAATTATGTATCCAGCGTAAAAACTGTGCTTGCTGTAAATTAATCTTATTCTCTTTATTTAAACAGTATTAATTTACAGTGGTTAAAATTGGTATAATATTAATCTACCGACTGAAACTTCATTGATTACATTTCTACAACATTCCTTAAAAATATTTTTTAAATAGTACACTTAAATAATAGTTCTTTTATTGTTAAACTTAAGTTACAGGGAATTATTTAAGTTTAAAAATAAAATAAATATTTAACTTAAATTATAATGATATTATTAAACTTAAATAATGATATAAGATGTTAAAACTTTAAATATATCTTTCAGTCTAACATTTATTTAAAATTCAAAACTCGGCTTTAATATGAAGGTAAACACTTGGTTATAATTAGTAGGAACACTTCACCACTGCACTTAACCAACACTCAACTGTGTTTTAATTCGTTGATAAGTATCAAGTATTAATCAGTTAACATCTCAATGATTCAAACACTTTTAACTAGTATTATGATGTTACTTTCACTACTGGATTAATGAAGCAAGTCTTAAATAAAAATAATGTTGTGTTTCAAATTATACCTTATGTATTGGTTTAGTTTATAAGTACACTAGCAGACATATTGATATAAGTATTATTTATATAATAATGTATAAAAATGCGTCTAATTATCTTATGTTTTTAAAAATTTTGCTTTGTAAGTAGAAGAAAGAAAATATTTCATTTTAATAGAAAAATATATTTATGTTATATTTACACTTTAAAACTTCCAACATTCCTTATGAACTGACGTAACTTTCTCGTTCACGTTTTTAGTTGACAATATTATTTGTTGATGTTAACTGCACTATTATTAGAATTGAAGTCGCCACGTAGTTTAGATTTCATTTTTCAAATTTAAAATGAGTAATGTTTTAGATTAAGTTTTGGTTATAACTATATCGTAAATAAATATGATGTCATTGATAAAATATACTCGTCAATTATAGATATTTATTGTGACAAATACTCCGCGAATTTTGCAGTGACAATTGACACATGTCAAAGGCGAAACGTCAAAAACTCACCACCACATGCTGCCGCGGCCTCTGCGCGGCTTGCTGCCAGCACCGTCGCACCTCAAACACAGAAACAGCACAAACAAGCACAAACACTTCATCGTGATGGGCGGACCCGAAGCATGCGCGGCCGCTCGTGGCACTGTACTATCTGGCGAGTGTCGAGACGTCTGGCTAGGCGGAGCCGGTGGTGGGAGGACTTACCTGCCTCGCTCTTACACCTTTTTTTAGCGAGCCCATTCAGTTACGCAATGAATCAGCGGGTTGATAATGTGGCTTATCTATTTTAAGGGAGTCATTGTAACAATAATATTAAGGGAGTAGGTCGCTTGAATATTTATACATAATAATATTTTTTTGACAAGGAGTTGTTAGTTTAATTTTGTTTGAATGAATTTGAACTAATATTAAAAATGTAATAAATTTGAATTGAATATATAGTTAATATGTAAGAATTCTCTAATAGCTTATTTTCGTTCTTAATAATTCTTTTTGTCATTTTTAATAAATTATTTTTAATAATTATATAGACACTACTGTCATCTAATCATCATAACATTTTACATTATAATTTAATACTTAGATAGGTACTATTTCGTTACTGTCCTTATTTTATGAAGAACCAAAAATATATTAAAAAAGATACTCATACGTTTTTCTGAGTGTTTGACGAAACGTGTAATATAGATAGGCTGTTTTTCATAATAATTTAGTACAAAAAACTGTCCAGATTTTATGTGGTCGGTTGTACGGTTATCAGTTACCTAATTACTTGTTTGGAAAACCTTATCTAAGCTAATTAGAAGCACACCTTTACCTTAATATATGAACAATGGAAGCTGTTAAGCGAATACTGGGAACCATAAAAATAGCGAATTTAACCCCGCACGACCTTATCTTGTTGACAATAGACACATTATGAACACAGAATGCACAATACAGCAATAACTTATTTTGTTTTACAAGTAAAGGATTTTTCCTTTACAACTTACAATGAATAAGCGACTACTAGTTCTCAGGAGTTGTTTTTCTTTTGATGTATTCGATGACCAAGATGACGGAAGCGGGACTTTTTACATCATATTCGAACATTTTAAGAAACATAGCAATAAAATATGTTTTATTATAGACAGAATTTGTAATCATTCATATTGAACTATATTTTTAAAGTATTTCTTTCTCTAAAATCGAACCTAAGATCGATACCCGCTCCAAAAAGGATGCATGGAGATTACAATGTCATTCATAAAACACTATCAAGGAGAATTCTCGGTATCGATAATAATGTAATGCATGTTGCAGGCGGCATGATCATGCGCCGGTGGGAGGGGCGGCGGGGACCAATCAGCGAGCGGATTGCGTCGATCGCTGCGCACGAGCACCACTACACGTGCTCGAGGCGAACTGGCAACGCGGTCCATTCTATTTTCGAAATTCAACAAATATCCTTGCTTAGATAATCTTAAGTACCATTGTTTTTCTTAAAATGTAATTGTATTTTAATGATTACATACCAGTTTTATTTGTACGAACATATTTAAAAAATCAATTAAACAAGAGCTAAAATCAATATCTCCAAGACACAGGCAGGATTTGAACCCACATTCCATGTGGTTGAATAAACACCCACTTCGAACATGAGTTGTAAAATTGATTTGTCTACTTAACTTTCTCGTATAGACATTTCACCTAGAAATTATATTTAGAATTTTATGATTATAATGTATTTAATACTGTTTAATTTTAAATATTATATTAAAAAAAATTTTGAGGTCTTAATTTAGATATTTGAGTTAAGATAATCGGGAATAAATAAATGATTCTACTAAAGAATCCTTAATATGGCCTGTTAATATTTGTTCATGCAAAAGACTTCAACGCGCTGTTATCTCAACGTCAAACATTGTTAGCAAATTAAATTATACAACACCTATTCGTATTTCTCCAAATATGGTGTATCTATTCACACATGTTTTATGTTACATTGCATGTTTGTATATTTAAATGATGATAATATATTAAAGAATTTTTGCTAGTGTTAAATCGACAATAATGTATATATTGTAAAAAAATGTGGAGTGCGTCATTTTCAAAAGAAAATTTCCGGATCCGTTTCACTGAACAATTTTATATGCAGGTATTTAGTTAATCACCTCTACCCTATTTGGCCAGCACGGTTCGTTTCTACAGGATTCGAACGTAGGACTTAGAGCTTACCGCCCCTAGCATTACGTGTTCAGTTATTTTAAGTAAAAGTCACTGACATTTCAAATAGTTTTTTTATGGTGTCGTGTGCCATAACACATGTTAAGCACATGATATTTAGTTAATTGAGTATCCGTGTTTCAGACAGATGTTCATGACCCTATGAGGACCATGTTGTACTATTTTTGTGGAGACACAACATTATAAATGTTTGTTTTTATTCGAAACTAATTCTTAATATCGCAAGTACACTTATATGTGAAATTAAGACAGTTTATAAATTGCATATAGGAATGGTTTCAAAATACACAGACACACACACAGAATCACACTGGATTTTAAGGGTTGAAGATGTCTATTTTAAACAGTTCACACAGTCTTGAACATAAATTAGTCTGAATTAAGGATATTTAATTTAAAAAATTAAAGAACGTTATTTCTAATTGGTCTTGTCGGTCGGTGTTCCTAATTGGTTTGGTTCGAATGTTTACAGTCAAAATAAAGCTTTGTCTATTTTTAAATACTGTCTATAGTTTATGCGAGTAGTACACATTTAAATAAAACACTTTAACGGTTTAAAACGCGTCGGGCCGAAGTTAAAAATCATTTTCAAATAAGTTTAACTAATATATCGCGTTTTAAACCGTTAAAGTGTTTTATTTAAATTTGTCTGTTTTTGTTATTACCACGATGTACAAACGTTTTAAATTTTCAAGTAATCTTTAAAAAATATGTTTTTGCCTGAAAACTTTTTTAAAAATTCTTTATTACACTTTCATTTAGGCACTTGGATTTTAAGTATGAACAAACCTAAACAAAACACAGTAGTAAAAAAACAGCGAAAGCTTTCTTCGACATCTTATGTTACTTAACAGTTTCCTAAACAATCAACCTTGAACATCATGATCGTATTCACAGTGTACTACAATACCAAACAGTAGGGAACAGTGGAAAATAATTTACAATGCAATAATTTAGTGACTGCAACGAAATAATTAAGGCACTTTGTTTTGATAATTCACCATGGCATTCCTAACTTTACACCGCGTCAAACTGAAACTTAACACACGATTTTAAATCTTATTACAACTACGTACAGTTGAGATTTGTTTAACTACCATTTAACATTGAATTACACTTTGTATGGAATGTATAGTGAAACAGAAGTGTTAATAATTAAAAGCTCATAAATTAATAATGAGCTTTATTCCATGGTAATACGATGTAAAGTTAATTGCGCAGTTTTTAATTGATCATTGAAATTTGAGGTGTCAGGTTTAAACATTTCGTAATTGTTTTTACATGTAAAAAATAATTTTGCAACCAATTATTATTATGAAATGTTGCAGTTCACTTCTTAAATATTGGTTCTTATTTAGGTGTTTATTTGCTTAAAAATCACCCCAAGTAACAACCTACCAAGTAATACAAACATCCTACTGCCAAAACCTGTAGTGATTCACACAACTTTCCCATCCTGCGCTTATCTCTTACAAAATACAAATATACCTCTCCTAAAACAATGCGCAACAAGTTAGTCTAGGGCACTGGGAAATGACGTAAGCGACGTTTAAAATACAATGATAAATAAGCCTTATTACGTTGTAAGATGGGTGTTTTCTGTTTATCACTGGGTAACTCATTGTAGGTTTATTGCTTGAAGTAAATAATTTTTATTATGTTTACTGATAGACCCGGCTGTCTGGTCAAAGCGTTGCGGTGGCCTCCCAGAGCGATCAATTTGAAAAAGGGGTTTTATGGCGATGACAACTGTATTAGTAGCTCCTCATTTTTCTATAGGAATTGTTAGGGGGACGCCAAATTCGACACCGGGTAATGATTTGTCTATGACGGGGCAGGTTCGTGCTGAAATTCGTAATAAAATATACGATGTCATCTTTGTAATCCCTTCGTTATTTCACGGTCTGATTTCGAAGGACGGTTCTTGTTTTATTAAAAAATATATTTCCTTCGTCTTGAGGAACAATATTTCTTTGCTGTGTGAACTACTTCTTTTTGAAATCGTTCAATTAAATCTATCAATATTTTATTTTAACAAGGGTCACAACTGTATACAATCACTGTTAACATAGTCTTGACGAGTTCGTCGGATAATGCCTAAGAAGCACCGGGTTCCCTCCCCACCAGTTCCGAGGTGTTTCTAATCAAGTTTCTTAATCTGGAAAAAGAGGAAAAGAAAAAGCCCAACCTCGGCCAGAGGTGGATGTAGGGCGGATCAACTATGCCTGTTAAAGAACGGGCCAGTAGCGGATACAGAAATGCTCCAGGAGGGATTAGGCTTCCTCCGCTTTGCAAGAATTACAAATTTATGCTCATTGTTTAACTAAAATATAGAAGTAACGTCATCATTACAAGGTGATCACTGAGGTGAATCTTACGGGAGGTCGAGCTCACAAAAAACGCATCATACGAAATGTTCGTAATCAATCCAATATACAGTTTTAACTTAAGAGGATTAATTTGACGTTCACCCGTCTAGACTGATTAAAATCCATTCAGAGACCGATTTTTTACAATCGCTACGGTTTTTGCTCTCATGACTAAGCCCGTGATTAAAACGCTATTAGTTATGATAGTCAAGGTCAGTATTGCTTGTCCTTTAGTGTCGCCGCACACAAGCCATTAGATAAAGGTTCAATCGTTCAGACGAATAGCTTATTTTCGGTATCCTTTATATGTTTAAAATACGGTTTAGTTTTCTATTTATCTGCTGGGTAACGCTAGCTTGGGTGTGTTTTTGCTGTAAATACAATTTTCGGTTTGACAAATTTATTTAAAGGTCCATTTGTAATAATGTGTAAAAATCTTCAGGCTGTTATCTGTTGTTTTTAGATAAAACATTATATTTACTGGAACACAAGAATGATTTTTGTATGAGCTTTAACGATACAAGTTAGAAATTTTTAACTGTTTTAAAATTAAACTAGTTTTATTTATTTCAACTAAGGCCCCACGTTTTAGAAACGTGCTGTAACGTGTCGGACAGTAGCCGTGGCCACGAGGGAACGTTAAATTTGTTACACAACATATAATTCCTTACATTTTAGTTTTAGGTTATTAATAAATACGGCAAATCGACTTTAATTTTAATTAGTTCTGCGGCGTTTTTATCGTTCCCACATACTGGGATACATATGTTGATTAATTATTATTACATAGATTTCATTTACAGGTGATAAAAGCATTCGCTATTTCCTTTGCTAAAAGCACTTTTTATAAACCGTTAAATCTTTTACACTTTGTCATATTGACAGCTAACAAGGGTCCAAACTTCCGGATAGTACTTGAAGTTATAAGTGGTTTATTTTTAGCTTAATAGCGTAGGAACAGAAAAACGAAAATTTACGAAGGGATAAACTGATGTTATATCAAATTTTATGTATATATGTCCAAATCGATCTGACTACATAACTCTGTATTTAAAAACAAGTACTACAAATAGGCAGGTACTTGTTGAAGGTTTTAATCGTACAAAGTGACAAAATTAACTGAAACATTTTTAACTGTTTAAAACGCAAAATATATAACTTTTTTTTTTTTAAATATAAAATATATATAAAAACTCTAAAAAAAAATTTTTAAAATTAAAAAAAATATTTATTATATAATTTTTTTTATTTTTTTTTTTTTTCCCCCCCCCCCCCCCCCCCCCCCCCCCCCCCCGCCCCGGGGGGGGCCCCCCCCCCCCCCCCCGGGGCCCGAAAAAAAAAAATTTCAAAAAAAAAATAAATTTTAATACCCCTTTAAAAACCGAAAAATTTTTTTTTTTATTGGTATTTAATTTATTGCAACTCCTATTTCTAATATATTTCGCGTTTTTTTATGATAGAGGCGGAGAGAGAAGCATGGAGTTCTACTTGATGAAAGATGAATACCTCCAAACAGATCCGTGTTTTTTTTAATATAAGGTTTTTATGTACACTTGACTCACTGTGGAACATTTTTTATCATTAACTTGTACGTCATATCGGTTTAATCATTTCTTACAAATTTTCCTCCTTCTGATGTAAATCTGGTTAAATCGTGGCTTCGATGCTTTAAAGTCCCTTATAGCTTTTTGTGCACAACCAATAATCGAACTCACTTTAATTGTGAAAAACTATTTTGTCTGTTTTGCGTATTATACGAAATAGATGAAACACTAACGCGTAACCAAGCTGTTAATTAATTGAGAAATACTTCGGCAAGTGAAAAACAATAACTCGTTTTTATTAGGCATCCTTAAAATAAAATA